GACCACAAAATGGCCACCGTAGGAGGTGGAGCTACAGAGAGAGAGAGGCCCAAGTGCAGAGGACAAGAGGGGTAATCTTTTAAACATACACCAGGAAAGAAGAGTCAGAGAGAGAATAAAACCAACACTGTAGAGACAGCTGCCATCAAGACAGATATCCAATGGCCAATCAGAAGCCCTGCTGGGCAGGAATCCCACCTGGCCACACCCACTTTCTAAAAACATTTGGCAGGTGCGATGGTGCCCACGGGCACCATGTAGGGGACCCCTGCCCTAGAATCTCTGACACTCCTTGAAAGTTCGTATCAAGTGCTGAGGTAACGCCAAACAGGATTGTGACTAATGCAGAGGAACTAAGAACGGTGACAGTAACGATTCCTGTCAGTTCATTCTATCCCTTTCCACTCAGCCTCGACCAATTCCACATTTAGTTTCTGTCTCCCCTGCCGAGCCACATACATTCAGACCATGGTGGAACTTACAGAATGAACATAATAACCCCCACAGCCCAGCAGTCCACAGGACGTCCATAACGTTGCCGGGCAACCACCTCAGGCGCTGTGTGGGGAAAGACACAGGGGTCAAAGGAACGTTAGACAGACGTTATAGCCAAAATACAACCCACAGAGACGCGAGTCAGGGCTAATTTTTCCCTGCGCTTTTCATAGCTACTTAAGAGAGGCAGATTTCAACAGGTGCTTCCCCCTGCCATATCTCCATGACAGGAGAAAAGCTGCACCTGTTGAATGGTCCCATCTGCCAGGCTATTCTTAAAGGCCTGGGGGATGTCAGGAACAAAAAGATGACAATTCTCCAAAGCTTCTCGTTTCTATGGACAGGGCATGAAGTTGGTACAGGGGAGGGGGGTACCCCGGAGTGACAAAAGAGCATAACATACCCAAGTATTCGGGAGTCCCACATGGCTCTGTGATGGCCCCATTCTCAAAGCGTGAGAGATAAAAATCCCGCAACACCACCTTGGAACGGTTGTTCTGGTTGTAGTACATGAGTGCCGTGCTGGGGGGGGGGGGGTTAAAAGAAAACCCAGAGTTAGTCATCTTAACGTTAGATTGCTGTAATATTGTACATTGCCACCAAACATCAAGAAATCTGTGTTTTACCTTTCATGTCCTAAAGACTAACAACGTTTATTTCCATATGAGCGCCTGTGAGTCACAAGCGTCACAGCCCACTTCGTCAGATATCTTGACGATATCTGTCTGACAAAGTGTGAGGTGACTCATAAAAGCTCATATGGAAATAAATGTTGTTAGTCTTTCAGGTGACGCTAGATTATTTTTCCCCCTTTTGATTTTGCTACAACAGACTAACACAGCTAACCCTTAGGACTCTTTCATGTCACCACCATTGTGTCTTTCACATTATCGTTCTAAACTGAATGTTATCTGTTCTTGGCCTGGTGCCGAATAAAGCGATACAGGGACGGATGTTTCATACAGCAAACTTCATTCCATTAATGAGTCGTCTCTGAAGTGATCTGGCTACCTGAAACATCGCCATGCTTTTTTTCTTACCCTTTTTCGCTGTGCAATCTTCCTTGAACTTTTTTTTTAAACGTTCTCAGTTGAGCGCTATCGCGCTAGACCAGTATAGCACTTCGGTGCTACAGTGGTTCCATTAAGATGCCTTGACACCATTGTGATACATTGCCAAGGCATCTCAGTAGTGCTGCTGTAGCACTGAAGTTCTATATTGGCCTAGCGCTATAATACTCAACTTAGCACTTTCAGGGGGAAAGTTTGAGGGAGATTGTGCAGCAAAAAGGGGTGGGGGAAAGCGCGGCGCTATTAGAAGTGCTGCAGACATTTTAAACAGCACACTACAGCAATTCAGAAGCGCAAAGAAGAAGTGAAAACGGAAGAAAGCAGTTTCCCCCAAGAATGGCTCAACAACGCTTTGCTAACCAGACGCAAGCGACTTTGTAGGAAAAGGTCAATAAAACCCGTTAGCGGCCAGTTGCTAAAACAGTTGTGTCTGGGGGGAAGCGTGGCTGTTAGCCCCGGAGCAAAGTAACGCGCGGCAGCCCGATCACATGTCCCGTTGAGGTCCCGTGGTTAGACCGTTAGGTGCCGATCACACAGCTATCCTGCAGTGCGGCAAAGAAGCGGCGCGGTGCAATCACACTGGCAATTGCTAGGTGCCGCTTCCGTGGCAAACGGGAATTTTTTTTCCTTGCCAAAGTTTGCACATGCGCATGATCGTTTGTGCGCATCCTGTGGAGACTTACAAAAAAACCCCACACATCCAGTTTGCAACAGGACATGGACGGGCGCCGGATGCCACGGGATTCACGCGGAAATGCGATCAGACGCCTGCCCTTGCCCCGTGTTTTCCGGAAACTAGTACCTTGTATGTGGTCGTTTTTTACTCCGCATCTTCAGGTGAGAAGCCATGGGTGCGCTACGCCTCCCTGATGTTCCAGTGTGATCGCGCCTGGAAAATCCGTGGGATGATCGTGTCTTCAGTGCAGCAAATGCTGCGTGTGAACGGGGCCTCAGTCTTCCTCCCGTATTCTTTCATGTGTGTATGCAAAGTGCCATCAAATCACAGCTGATTTATGGCAATCCCAGCGAGGGGCTTTCAAGGCAAGTGAGAAGCAGAGGTGGTCTGCCGTTGCCTTCCTCTGCGGAGTCTTCCTTGATGGTCTTCCAAGTACCAACCCTGCTTAGCTTCTGAGAACTGACGAGATCGGGCTACGCCATGCCGCCCTCCCTGCCATGTTCTTTCATTCCTCAAACTTAAAAAAAGGTTACTTTCCCTCAGAGTTTTTAGAGATTTGACAAAGCGTCCTTTGTAGGTTGTTAAATTTACTCTCTGTGAACTCCTCAGCCAAGTAACTTCAGTGTAAACCTATTGATTTCAACAGGCTTAGAATGGAGAAACTCTGCATAGGATGCACTTGTTGGGTTACATTCATATTTAGTCTTCCGAGGATGCAAGTCCTGTTGACTTCAATGGCACTTCTGGGGTAACATGCATAGCAGTGGGCAGCATGAATTTCTCTGTCTATAGGGTAAATGTTAGATTCGAGTCCAGTAGCACCTTGGAGTCTAACAATATTTTCACAGTATAAGCTTTCGAGAGTCAAAATTCCCTTCATCAGATGCCCTTTTCTCCTGAGGTGAGCTGTCTCCCCCAAGACCACTAGATTTGAGAGTTTCCCTGAGCAGAAGGACTCCCTGGCTCTCTCTTTACCTTAAGGTTGCGGTGGACGATGTGGAGGTTGTGCAAGTAGGCCAATGCTTCCAGCACCTGCCGGATGACGTTGCTAGCGTCCTTTTCCGTGTAGTAGCCCTGGTCTAGGATCCAGTCAAAGACGTCGCCGCCAGTAGCACTGTGAGGAACACACAGAATAGAGTTAAGATGGGGAACCAACCAAGAAAACACTCTTTGTGGTGTGTCTGTACTGGAGAATACCGAAGAAGGTTGGGATCCTACACTGGGACAAGACTTTCTGCCTCCCTTTCTTCATCAGCACTCTCTCTCTCTCTCTTCTTTTCTTCATTTAATTAAATTTTATTTAGATACATGCCCTTCTTTTCAGTTTGGTGTAGGGGTTAGGAGCGCGGACTCTAATCTGGGAGAACCGGGTTTGATTCCCCACTCCTCCACATGCAGCTGCTGGAGGGACCTTGTTTTCTCAGAGCTGTTCTCTCATGAGTTCTCAAAGGAGTTCTGTCAGCCCCACCTACCTCACAGGGTGTCTGTTGTGGGAAGGGGAAGGGAAAGGAGATTGTAAGCCGCTCTGAGACTCCTTCGGGTAGTGAAGGGCGGGGCATAGATCCAATCTCCTCCTCTTCTCTCTCTCTCTTCTTTCCCAATGGGGAGCCAGAGCAGCTTACAACACTGTTCTCCGTTTTATCCTCACAACAATCATGCGAGATAGGTTAGGCAGAGAGCGTGTGACTGGCTCAGGATTGCTCAGTGAGCTTCCATGGCAGAGCAAGGATTCACACCTGGTTCTCCCAGATCCTAGTCTGGCACTCTAACCAATAACCGAGAAAAACCAATAAATAACTACTGTGCACTGACCAACCCACCCAAGAGCAATAGAAAAGAGACTTCAATACAATAAGTAATGCATGTAATCCATCATAGGACAATACACAAATTCATAATATCCCAAAGGGAAAGAACAATGTCCAGAATAACAATCTCTCATAACAATCAAGTCTGGAATAGATGTCCACAATGAAGTCAGATGTCCACCACTTTTCAACACTTTTCCCAGGTATAAATTAGTGTTTCGGACTTCAGGTCCTTCCTCAGGAGCTACAAGCCAATACTGTAAGTCTCTTAGCAGATTCTTAACAGGTAAACAATAATTTGGGATATTATGAATTTGTGTATTGTCCTATGATGGATTACATGCATTACTTATTGTATTGAAGTCTCTTTTCTATTGCTCTTGGGTGGGTTGGTCAGTGCACAGTTGTTATTTATTGGTTTTTCTCGGTCATTGTTTACTGTGGACTGTATTGTTGTTCTTGTTGACTCTAACCAATACACCTCGCTGGCTATTTTTAAGTTCTCTGTAATTTACTTCATTCTAATGATCTTGCAGTTCTGTATACTTCTCCTTGCGTACTCCCCCATTCTGCAGGTACCCGCCTTCCAGTGACATCTAAGATCTACCTTTCAACTACCTCGCAGGGTTCTTATGAGGATAAAATGGCGGAGAGGAGGACAATGTAAGTGGTGCTGGGTCCCTATCGGGGAGAAAGGTAGAGTAAGTATGTAGAGTAAGTAAATAAATAATTTTGGGGGAGAAGGGGGCCATGGCTCAGTGGCAAAGCATTTTCTTTGCATGCAAAAGCCAACAGATCAGGTAGTAGGTGATGGGAGAGATCTGAGACTCTAGAGAGCTGCTTCCAGTCAAAGGAGACAGTGCTAAACAGGGCTTTTTTTTGTAGAAAAAGCCCAGCAGGAACTCATTAGCATAATAGGCCATACCCAATGGCAGGAACTAATTAGCATATTAGGCCACACCCCTGACAGCACAGCTCATTCGCATATTAGGCCACACCCCCATGTTACCAGAAGTGTGGTCATCCAGCCACACCCACCTTTTGCTTCTTATTCTCTTTACCTTGTTTGTTGACAAAACCCAGGGCTTTTTTTTGGAGCAGGAACTCCTTTGCATGTTAGGCCACACATCCCTAATGTAGCCAATCCTAATGAGTTTCTGCTGTTGGGTGTGGCCTATTATGCTAATGAGTTCCTGCTGGGCATGGCCAACTTGGGAGCCAGCTGGAACTCCGTTCCTGTGCGTTCCTGCCCAAAAATAGCCCTGGTGCTAAACCTTGAGGGAACAAAGGTCAGATTCAGTGTAAGCTAGCTTCATGTCCTGCCACTGCAGGTTTCCCCAATGCGGTACCCGTGGGCACCACTGCGTCCACCAGTACGTCTTCTTGTCGCCTGCCAAGCTGTTCAGAAAGTGGGCAGGGCCTTTGTGTAGAGTGGGTTGTTATTGGCCAGTATCGTGCAAATGTAAGCATTTTCCATAGCTGCAATACCAGACGCAGCCACTGGAGGAGAACTAACAAGCATACTTCCTTATGGTTCCATAATAACCCCTTCAGGCTTCCTTGCTTTTTCTTTCCCCTTCCTTCGCTTTCTCCCTTTCTCTCCCCTCGCGCTTCCCTTCATTTCTTTTATTCCCCTTCTTTTGGGCTCCGCCTCCTTCAGCAAGCACTTTCGGGCTGGCATTCACTAGCTAGGATTGCCAACCTCCAGGTGGGGCCTGGAGAGCTCTCCAACTGATCTCCAGACGGCAGTGATCAGTCCCCCCCCCCCGGAGAAAATGGATGCTTTGGCAGGTGGACTGTATGGCATTATACCCTGCCGAGGCCCCTCCCCTCCCCAGGCTCCGCCTCCTAAAATTTCCAGGTATTTCCCAACCCAGAGTTGGCAACCCTGTGCGTGTGCCATCAGTTTGCAGCTGACTGACAGCAATCTCAGGAAACGAGAAGCAGAGGTGGTTTGCCCTTGCCTGCCTCTGCAGCGTCTTCCTTGGCGGTCTCCCTTCCAAGTACTGACCCTGCTTAGCTTCCGAGACCTGACGAGATCGGGCTACGCCACGCCGCCGGCCCTCCCTGGCAACCCTACCCACCCCATTTCAAAATTCCAGAGGGGCTACAGAAAGCTGAAGACCCCGGCACCGTTGTTTCGTGGAGCCTCAGATTGTTTCTCCTCACCTTGCGGGGAAACTTACAGTTCTTGGATGATGTAGAATTCTTTCCGCGTCTCAAACGTGTCAATCAGCTGTAAGATATTGGGGTGACTCACCCTGGAAGAAGAGCGCAGGCATTCATTAGCGTCCCGTTTTCCCACCTCCACGCTAGCATCCCTCCCCTCCCCCTTCCACCAGGCAAGTATGAATCTCTTTTTTCCCCCTAATCAACCTGTGAGGTCCTCGACACACAAACCCCACATTTGCCATAGTCTTTCTGTGTTACCCATTCCCTGCTGGTCTGGCTCTTTTGTTTGTCTCTGACAAAGAGGAAAGTCAGCAGAAATCTCAGCTTGCCCCTGAGGTCTTATCAATAATTCACACCTGGCCTTTAGCTTCTTTTAAAGAAGCTAAAAATGGCTCTTCTGATGTAGGGCAGATCAGGGGGAATCAGGTGCGCGGCTTTGATGGCTAACCGGTGCCAGTTGCAATTTAAGACGAGGGCTGCACACCTCTTTTTATCTTCGCTGGCCTCTGGTAGCAGCCTGACTCGCAGAAATGCAAGCTTCCTTTCAAGCCAAACGATGATTCATTTGTAAATATGGATCCAATGGCTGGGTGAGTTTCAGCATCATAAGGACAATGCCAGGCAGTTTGTTTAGAGAAAACAGGGATATGATGGGGATAAGAACATAAGAGAAGCCAATGTTGGATCAGGCCAATGGCCCATCCAGTCCAACACTCTGTCACACAGTGGCCAAAAATACCAGGTGCCATCAGGAGGTCCAGCAGTGGGGCCAGGACACTAGAAGCCCTCCCACTGTTGCCCCCCCCAAGCACCAAGAAGACAGAGCATCCCTTGCCCCAGACCAAGAGTTCCTATCTATACTTTGTGGCTAATAGCCACCGATGGACCACAGCTCCATATGTTTATCTAATTCCCTCTTGAAGCCACCCATGCTCGTAGCCGCCACTACCTCCTGTGGCAGTGAATTCCACATGTTAATCACTCTCTGGGTGAAGAAGGACTTCCTTTTATCCATTCTAACCTGAGAAGAATAGATTCTTTTGAACTATGGTGCTGGAGGAGACTCTTGAGAGTCCCTTGGACTGCAAGAAGATCAAATCAGTCAATCCTAAAAGAAATCAACCCTGACTGTTTCCTGGAAGGCCAGATAACGAAACTGAAGCTCAACTACTTTGGCCACCAAAGGAGAAGGGAGCACTCCCTGGAGAAGACCCTGATGCTGGGAAAGATTGAAGGTCAAAGAAGACGGGGACGGCAAAGGATGAGATGGTTAGACAGTGTCATCGATGCAACGAACATGAAATTGAGCCAACTTCAGAGGACGGCGGAAGACAGGAGGGCCTGGCGAGATCTGGTCCATGGGGTCGGAAAGAGTCGGACTAGACTGTGCGACTGAACAACAACAACAAAAACCTGAGTGCTCTGCAATTTTATCGAGTGCCCATGAGTTCTTGCATTGTGAGAAAGGGAGAAAAGTGCCTCTTTCTCGACCTGCTCTATCCCATGCATAATCTTACAAACCCCGATCATGTCACCCCTCAGCCTTCGTTTCTCGAAAATCTGATCCTGAGGGGTTGGCTGCCGTGCCATGCCAGATTTCCCCCTCCTGTCATGACTTCAGTTCTCTGCCTACCCCACTGCACCAGGCTTTCCAGAGAAATTTAAAAGAATATAAACTGGGTTTGAGGGAATAGGATCTAGGCTTGCCAGCCTCCAAGTGGGGTCTGGATCTCTCCCGCTATTACAATTGATCTCCAGACTACAGAGATCAGTTTCCCTGGAGAAAATGGCTGCTTCGGAGGGCGGACTCTATGGCATCGTACCTTGCTGAGGTGCCTCCCCTCCCCAGACCCCGCCTTCTTATGCTCCACCCACCAAATCTCTGGGTTTTTCCCAAGCCAGAACTGGCAACCCTAGATCTGGGCCTGGGTCTAAACCCAACCAAGCTCGGAACAATCGCTGAGGTAAAACTGACAGAAACAAGATGGTGTCTTTTAATAAGTAAACAAGGTTTGTTTAGAAAAACACACAATTTTAGATAAATTATGACGGTTGATGCCCTTGCTGTTATTCCATTAGCCTGCCTTCAGGAGGCATGAATCCCTTTATCGCTACTGAATAATCAAATGTCACACATCAGCTGTCAGGCCGACGGAGAGGGCAACAGGCTCAGAGGCCTTCAGGTCCCACCATACACCTAGGGTTGCCAGCTCCCGGTTGGGAAATACCTAGAGATTTTGAGGGTGGAGCCTGGGGAGGGCGGGGTTTAGGGAGGGGAGGGACCTCAGCAGGTTATAATGCCGTAGAGTCCACTCTCCCAAGCAGCCATTTTATCCAGGGGAACTGATATTAATAATCTGGGGCTCAATTGTAATAGCAGGAGATCTCCAGGTGCTACCTGGAGTTTGGCAACCCTATGAGATACCCACTGACATTAACCTGGAGGCGCTCACCAGGGCCTAGGTGCCTCTGAGGGTGGTGTGCCTCACTCAGTATGGATCAGGCCCTCTCTCCTTCCCATAGCAATGGAGCTGGCATCCCTGTGCTTCAGGTGGCCAATTCCAAGTTGGAAAACTCCTGGAGATTTGGGGGTGCAGCCTGGGAAGGCTGGAGTTTGTGGAGGGGAGGGACCTTAGTGGGTTGTGATGCCCAGGGGTCATTTCCTGCAGGAGCGCACAGGAGTGGAGCTCCGGCAGTAAAGAGCCCAGGGAGCAGGCACATGCAACAAGCCCCACCCCCTTCTCCCAGCAGCCCTCAGTCAGAGCAAGAAGCAGCCAGGTAAGGTGCAGAGCCCCCCCCCCCGGCCCCCCGGCCCAAAACAGTCCAGTGGCACCTTTAAGACCAAGTTTTATTCAGGTACAAGCTCTCCCTCCTCTGTGAGGGCAGATCTGCACATCCCCACCCCCCAATAGCTAGCAATCCAAAACAGTCTAGTGGAGCCTAAGCGGTGGGTGTTGCCTTCTGATACACTTCTGGTGTGGCATATGCAAATAAGTTATGCTAATGAGTTATACTAATGAGCTCCTGCACCTTTTTTTCTACGAAATGACCCCTGGTGATGCCCCTCCTCCACCTAAGCAGCTATTTTCTCCCTGGAATTAATCTCTGTGGTCTGGAGATCAGTTGTCAGTCTGGTGTAGTGGTTAGGAGCGCGGACTCTAATCTGGGGGAACCAAGTTTGATTCCCCACTCCTCCACATGCAGCTGCTGGATGACCTTGGGCAAGCCATAGTTCTGTCAGAGCCATTCTCTCAGAGCTCTCTCAGCCCCGCCCAGGGTGTCTGTTGTGGGGAGGGGAAGGGAAAGGAGTTTGTAAGCCGCTCTGAGACTCCGAGTGAAGGGTGGGGTATAAATCCAATCTCTTCTTCTTCCTCCTCCTCCAGGAAATCTGCAAGCCCTATCTGGAGGCTACCAACCATACCTACGCTATCCGGCTATGGTTGCAAAATGGGATATTTACTTTTGATTGTTATTTGTTCCCTAGCCTGGGACACGGATGCACTGGAAACATGTTGCTGGTTGGGATTATCATTCCCCTTGCCACTGGGCCAGCAGATGTAGATTTCCAAAAATAAGAATTTCCCCCCCAAGCATGGTGCCCCTCGGGTTGCCAAGTCCGGGTTTGGAAATACCTGGAGATTTGAGGTTGGAACCTGGGAGGGTGGGCTTTAGGGAGGGACAGGACTGTAGTGTGTAGTGCCGTATATTCAACCTTCCAGAAGCAACCATTTTCTCCAGAAGAAAAGGGAGGGAGGCTTTAAATAACTAAAGAACTAAAGAAATAAGCAAGCTATCTATGTAGTCTGGAGATCAGTTGTAATTCCGGGGGACCTCCAGGTCTCACCGTATGCCCAGCTTGAATGATGAAGCAGACTATTCGGGAGTTTGTAGGAGGCAAAGTTGTGTTCCGTTGTTTAATATGCCTGTCTGATAAGTGGTATCTGACCAAAGTAATAGAAGGTTGTCAGCTCTTGAATAAGGGTCTTCTCGAAACAGTCTTTATCGATTGTCTGTTGGGATTTGCTCGGCTGATGATAGATTTCTGCTTTAAGTCCTTGCCCTAAGCACCACGAGAGATCTACCCGGAGACTGTGCATGTATAGGAGGACTTCAGCTTGTACACTGTGTATTATGTTCTCATCATTAGGTGGTCCTTAAATTGTTGACGCCAATTGCTTTTTGTTGTTCATGCCGTGTATAACATGTTCTGATATCATCTACTACCATATATGTTTATAGATCCCCTATAATTAATTCACTACATGGCACTTCCGGTCTATGGCGACACACAGGCAGACACATCTCCCAGACGTCTCGGGGATGTAAACTGCACACCAGTGTGTGGGAGGGGGTCCGACGGGCCGCGACCCCCCGGAGCCTTGGTAAAAGGCTCCCAGCCAGGGGGCTTTTGAGGGTCCCCTAAAAAGTGACGGGAAAGCGAGCGGGGGAGGGGTACCTCCCAAACGCATAGACTGAACACGGAAGGAAAGAAGGGGGAGCAGAAAAATAAGCGACTAAAACTATTTTAAGAGACTTACCAGA